TCTCCGACTCAGCGAGAAAAAAGCATGGATCCTGGCAGAAGATCGAAAATCCAATTGGAAGAAAAAGTGGGTCCGAGTGCAGAAAGTGCGAGGAAAGAAGCAGATCCATATATCACGTACATGCGGACAATTGCGCGCGCAATCTCGCAGAGCAGACGACGGCAAACCGCGAGGAGAGCGAAAGGGCGGCGAACGACAGCGTCGACGGCATGGCAATCGGTGGACGCGGGTTTTCGTCGTCGCGCGCTCGTTGATTACTCTAGCGCTCGCGTGTGCGGTGACCGCGCGTATCCGCGTCAAAGCTATCGTCATTCATCGCCGGAGACGGGCGATCGACGAGCGTCGCGCGAGCGTGGCATGCGCGAGCGCGCTCGTCGGAATATCGACCGGCCGTGAAATTGCTCTCTCGTCGCGAGAGCGATCTCAGCGAAACGTCGTCGGCGGGTCCATCGCGACTCACCGGCCGCGGCACCTGCAGTAGTGAGTAACTGATCCCTCGATGATCCCCACCCCTCATTTCTTTTACCCCACCGTTTCTCTTGCTTCTCTGCCTCCTCCTCGTTCCACCTGGAGGCGCCTCCACGTGGTCGCATCGGCGCGACGAAACTCGCGAGTAACGCAACACTGTAAGTCCACGTGGCTCGCGATGACACGCGCGTTTTATCGTTCTACTATCTAAATGTTCTACTATCTTAACTGTAAGATTTTCCGGTATAATTGACCCGTTACGTTTTTCTCGCTGTATATCAACTACGAGCGATAAATGTGATTGTGATGGAAGATAATGGATCGAATTCCTTTTGATTCTTAGAATTCTATCTATTTTTGCTACGAGATGAGACTTCTTGGGAATTTAGGAAATTTCCGCGGACCGGTTTGTTTGAATATTTATTGATTGAGATTTGCTCTATTACTTGTCCTTTTATTAATGAGAGAGAATTGTCTCTATGTGAAAAAAAAAAATTTTGCAGAAAGTAAATACGAAGCGAATGTATCAATCAATTGCTACTTGTGTTGATAATACATAGTTATATTTTTATTTAACGTATTACGTTTATTTTTATAACTTTTATATTTACAATTAAAAAATTATTTTAAATCGCATTTAAAAATAATACAAGAAAGTTCAGCAGCACTTTAGAATCTGAATCAAAAATTATTTAAATGAGTAATTAATAAGTTAAAAAGTATTCTAATGGAAATGTAAAAAATAATGACAAAATAAAAATCCCAATTTTTTAATATAAATACTATAAGTATTTAAAATTATTTATGAAATTTTATAAATCAATTTTATAAATCAATTTTCAATACTTACAAAATTCAGTTATTTACAAAAATTTAATTTTTTTTTTTTACAATTTTTTTTTGTCATCATCATCATTATTATTGTTGTTGTTGTTGTTGTTGTTGTTGCTGTTGTTATTGTTGTTGTTGTTTTCTAATTACATTTCTATTAGAGCACATTTTGACTTATTTATATTAATAATTTTTGATCCAATTTTCTAAATCATCGGCTAAATTTTTTGTTTTATTTTTAAATTATAATTTAAAATAATTTGTAAGTTTTTTTTATTATTTTTTTATTATAAATAAAAATAGATGTAATATATCTTTAAATCTATAAATACGACGCAAAATTCTTTTGCACTTTGGAATATTTTCTCAATGAATAATGATTATCCCGTTATTGCTTCATTAAGAATTCATAAACACAATGCAAATTTCTTGAAAAATGTTATCTGGCCAATAATTGTTGATAACAATTCTCTACTTTAAAAGTACTTGAATCCTGAATGAATTATGCGTTTCAATTAACCGATCGAGATATGCATAAGTTCAAAGTTCGTCAGAAATTGTATCTTTGCACCTTGCACTTTGCACATTTTACCGCGTATTATTTGAAATTTCAAAAAATTTGCTAGATAAACAGACTTAAGACTGTAAAGAATTTGTATTCTGACGTATTATAAAAGATAAAGCTTAAAAGATAAAGACAGTTGTGTGTTAATGGACATGATAACTGGCTGGAATAATAATTTTCATAATTTTTTGCAATCGATTTCTTGTATATTTTGAAGACACTTATTAGTGTCATCATCAATATTAAATTGATTGTTTAAAATAAAAATCTAATTTCTATTTTAAGATTAGTTAGTAATTGACCCGTAGTTTTGAAAAAAAAAATGAAATATATATAAATTTATGAAAATAAAATTAAGCATAAGATTCCATCAAGTGACCAGAAAAATTATATTTGCTGAACTGTGTAATACATTGATCGATATTCGTTTGAAGAAAATGATAATGTTTCAGGTCTCTAGCTTGATTAACACTCATTTCTTTATTTTTTGCTTGGGAATTTTATTTGAACCTTCATGAATCTATCTGTATGTAGGATACTGATGTCTGAACCTGAAGTTCCAAATCTCAGCGCAACTTTGAACGTCCGCGCCATGAAGGACATGCAACGCCACCGTTGTATGCACTTGCGGCGATGCATTTTAGTTTAGGGTCTCGGCCGCTAGGCGGTCATCACCTTATACTCCACAGCAGTTGTTTAACGAAATAATTATAAAAATTATGTTAAATCGTTCAAGGATCAAAAGTCACAATAGCCATAGTTTAGGATTTATCGTTGACTTCGATCGCAAGGATTTTGCGGACTAAAATCAAATTTGGAGTTAGGTTTGTCTTCATAGTATTTCTCGATGGCACTCAAATGCGATGCAATTCATATATAAGGATGGTCCAGAGATGTTACTCTCGGGTAGTCTGATGCTTCCCAGGAAAAACTACGAACGCATATATGCGGCCTCTCTCTTCGCTTTATAACGATGTCTCTTTGTTCAGCATCATATGTCTCCAGTACTCACGTTCAGTTCGAAAACCACGTGCGTACAGGTTTAAAACCACAAAAAAAAATCGGGTCGGTATTGCTTGTTTGTGTCACTAAAGAAATGAACTGAGGAAGCGAGATCGACTATCTCTTTTGCCCAAAATTTTACGATTTGATTCTTTTAATAGCAACTCAGCTCCAAAAATTCTACATTGCATATTTTCTCGAGGAAAGGTATTTTTACGCGATACCCCAGTCTGCGAATCGTGTTAAAAACGTATATTATTTTAGGAAACAAATTACAATTTTTGCTTCTTAATTATTAATTTTTATATAAGAATTATGTTTGAACGTAAATTCACAATTCTATACGAAAGTAATGCCATATAATTTTAAAATAATATATTCATAATTTATATTATAAATTTT